AATTTATTGTCTTTATTTATTGGCTTTTTTCAAAATTTTAAACCATATTAAAATGTTTATGCCTTCAAAATAAAAAAATTCTTAGAACTTACATTTGTTAACATTTTTTATGTGTATACTGTATGTTGTCGCCAACAAAGTCTGCTTGGCGAGATTTGCACCGGCGAAACAGAAAAGTACCAAAAATTGAAATATATCATATGAACATCTCTGTATATGGATAATAAAAGATTAAGAAGTTGTAACAATCTACATTGCATCCAGCTGATTCTGAGTTAATGAGCACATTTCTAATTATTTTCATGTATCTTGCTTTAAAAACTCTTATTCTGCAGACTTTTAATTTGCCAGCTTCTTAGTTCTTAATATTTTGTAAAATGTCTTAAATAAGCCTTCGAAAATCAAAAAAAAAAAAAAAAGTATTGCTAAGGGATAATAAATCTTAACTTCTAAACATGAGTTTTTTTTTTTTTTTTTTTTTTTTTTTTTTTTTCTTTTTTACCCCCTTAAATAAAAAACGTTTAAATTCACAGAAATTTTTATTTAATTACATTTTCAGACAGTATCTAGATGTACATGAGAAAAATAAATATGCAACCAAAACAGAAAATTATAGGTAAGCAATAATATTCAAACAAGAATAAAACTAAATATATTACAAACAAGTAAGACTTTTTTTTTTTTTTTTTTTTTCTTTTTTGGTTGTTGTTGTTACTAATTGACACTTTTTTCCCCTACTTTTCACATACTTAATATTAGTCATGCAGTTATTATAATCTTTTATATAGTAGAAAGTCTGATATCTGGAATTCTGAAAGCTTCCAGGATTCCAAATATTTCCAACTTTTAGATCATCAATTTAAATCTAGTAATATGACATGTAAACACAAAAATTGGAGCTTTATTTATTGTTTAGGTCAAATAAGAATGATAATCCTCCATAACTACTGAAGGGCTGAATGTGTGACCCTGGCCAACATTAACCGTTTGACTGCTATGCGGCACAAAAGCGCTGCGTTCATTTGTCTCAAAAACCACAATGCAGTTACTTATTTTAGAATGCACTCATGTTACAAAGTACATGTGAGGTCAGACTATGTGCGTTCCCACCCACAGAGCAACAAAGACACACTGAAACTCGCAACGCTTCGTGGTTTTCGAGACAAATGAATGCAGCGCTTTTGCGCCGCATAGCAATCGAGTGGTTAATAACAACCTCAATTCAATCAGCATGTCACTTCCCAAAACACCTGATGTTTGAATGTGACAGGTAGGAATTTCCATTAACCAGGAGAAAAATTACATTTATAATACACCTGCTTCCTTTTGCTGAGTATTATCATATACTCCATTCTTACACTTTGTAAGGGAAGGGGGGAATTTTTTATATTATTATTTTTTTATTGATATTTAGACCAAAAGGCATTAGCCCTGAAGGGCTATTAATTTCAAAATGGCATTTTGCATTGATTCACTTTTCAAACTCTTGCCATCAAATATTATCGCCATGTATTATATTTAAAGAAACTAAATAATAAAGAATCTGTACGAATGTTTCTCGCACTGTAAAGAAGCCATGGTATCTAGCGCAACAAAGTTCTGCATAACATAGCTCTCCAACCTAACATGGGCACTTGGAAGGTCGAATTTCAAATTTGTCTTATTATCTATTTAAAATTTTGCAAAACTGTAACGAATTTTTGATTAACAAAATGATTTCAAACTGAGCAATGGCAACACTGTATGGAAAAAAACATTATCTCCAGCATACAAGACTATGTATCAGAAATTCTAAAGATATGCTGTTTTTAAATACTTTGTGATATTGCTGTTGAATTTAATTTTATGTATTTTAAGTGTGAATAACATGCTATATAATCATTAAAGAAGGAAAACTAAAGGTAACACACAAAATGTCAAAAAAAAAAACTCCTGGGCATAACAAAATCTAAAAGCTTTCAGATTATTTTTCTAATTATTTATTTATTTTCAGCTAGTGTTCCGGAAGTGTGGACATTGGATGTCTGGATTTCAGCCTTTGAACTACATACAATTCTGCAGAACTTAGAAATACCTGAATAAACTCTGGTACATAATACAAACCTGACATTTTCCTTAATAACACTAAAATTGCTCATTTCAACTACATATGTAACAATAATTCCTTAGAAGAAACAGTTACACAATAAACAAAAATTATATTACTGTTTTCAAAAATAAAATTATATTTTGACACAAATAAACATTGCAACAGATAGTAATGTAACACACAGAAAACACTGTGCATTTCTACATGTTCTCAACAACAAGCTGCCTGTTTCTAGATGAAAGGATCCTGTCTTAGAAGATATACCGGTTTAATCCTAGTATCTGGTGCACAAGGGATTTGGCTACTTTTGGTGACTTTATAATGAGCAGTAAACGGGACATGTACAATTAGTAGTTAAATGGGTCATTTTAGTGTTGGCGATAATTTTCAAAATCGCGCCAAGGCTGCACCGTATACTAGGATTTTACCGAAATACCTTCACAGAAATCACCAGTATTCATTTTACACATAAAACAAGCCACAAAAAAACAAGCAACCAGCCCTTTCAGAGACTAAAATTCAAAACTTAACATCGCTATCAAAAAGAGTAGATTGAAATTTTTGTATTCCAACAAAGAATACTAAAAATCATCTGTCTAATGGCAGAAATGCCTTTATGGAGGACTTCATAAGGAAAGCTGGCTCATTATTGCATTACACATTAGGAAAAACACAAAAATGTCCATGCCACCAGACCATTTGTGGGATTTGAACTTGAGTAGAACCATCACACTATCAGCGTTTGATAGGCCATCACATTTTAAAAGATTAACCATGATACAGTTTTAAGTTCATATTTCACATTCAAAAACCACACAAGTGAAATTATAACATATCATCCTTTTCATTTAAAAATAATGCTCAACTAAAATTAAAAAATGAAGTCATAATACTGTACTTCATACATACTTTCTGATTATCTGCATCCACATCGAAAAGTCACAAAACTCACTGCTGACTTATTTATGCTAAGCTTATATGCAAAAGACAACGGGCATGTTTAAAATTGTGCACTCAGAATTTCACAGAACAGTAACCAGCTAACAAAATGCACAAATGCTGCATTATGTGATGCAACTTTCAGCACTGTGCACTAGCCAAAAAGACAAAAAAAAAAAAAAAAAAATGTGCACACCTGGGGTTGCCACATAAATACTTTTTGGTGATACTGCGGGCTGCCACAAAACTATTTTGTTTTATCAATATCTTTCATGACTTTTCAGTGGGGGTGCAGATAATTAGAAAACATCATATTATACTTAATCAGCAATTCTTGTTTAACTTGCAGCAGGTAAAAAATACCCAATACTTACAATTAATGAAAGTCAAATTTCTGATCATTCAAGAACATGGTTTTGAATTATTTAATACTTTTTAACCAGCAGGTGTATTTCAACAACTAGCACTGATGCAAGATAAAATATCTGTTTTTCACATGACAGAAACTGGTTCACTACACAATAAAACTTTGAAGATTTTTTTTTCTTTTTTTTTAAAGGCAAGAAAGAAAGAAATTCTTGCTAATGAAAGAAATCTAAAATTTTCCATTCAAGGCATAAGTTATTTTCACTAATGAAGAGGTCCTTAAAATGTTCCTGTCCAAAATATCTAAACATTTTGCAGCTAACCCTCTGGTTGGTAGATATTGTGTTTATAAAGTAATATAAGGAAATATAAATTTAAAAGTAATACATGGAAGTTCAGAAAATAAGTAAAACAGGAATTTAGGAAACTTATATTATGGAAGTGAGAGAACTAATGACCAAAGCTGAAGGATTAAAGTTATTTTTCTAATGTAAGAAATAAAATAAAATTTCAATCTTTTGTCGATATTTTTGTCACACATTAACAAGCTATTAAAAAATGGTTGCTGCTTGTTCCAGTTAGAAAGGCCAGCTAGGGTGATGCATAAATATACTCATAAATACTTTGGATAATTAAATAGCAGCTTGTATATGATTTAAAATGAGTATTTAAGAAACGAACAGATATTACATTTGCTCATTTAACATAGAGAATTTCATAATATAAGTATTTTATTCATAAAAATAAATACTTCAGCCTTTAAAATATCAGCAGATACAAGACTTTAAGCAAGATAAGGTAAATCAGCACAAAGCAAAAACTTCTGTACAATTTAACTTCCTTTTCATGATATGAAACAATAAAACCAGCAAACTGTCATCCTATAAATTCAGATATCCAGCTCACTCATAAGGGTTCTAACAGCAGTTCTAAAATATCATTCCTACTTCAAACTCATAACAAATAAATTGTCAGAATGGGGCAGTGCTTTAAAATTTTGGAATATTATTGTTAATGTTTCTTATCTCCTCTAATTTTTTTCTTTCCTTTTCTTAAATGTAACTGCAAAAAATAGTACGTACTATATAAAATTTCTGCATTAATTTCCGTTTCCAAAGACTGTATTAGTTCCGACGTTCTATAGCTCTTCGAAATAAAAGAAATGCAATATTCTCAAAATAATCCATTAAGAAACATTTGTTTGCATAGCAATTTTTTAAGTTTTTTAATTTATTGTTTAACTTTATGTTAAACAATAAATTAAAGATTATCTTACATAATTACATAATTCTTTTATTTCTAACACAGCTTATCGGTGAAATGTTAATTAACTTCTTTCATTTAAAAAAAAACAACAGTTTAACAGTTACTTCATTATGTTTGGATCTCTTTAAAAAAACACACACACAGTTTGATATATTGGCTCTAGAGTAACATTTTCGCATATAACCTGAATGTACAAGTATATTTTCATGGCTTTAACACATGTTTAAAGCTGGTTGTCTTTTAACTAAAGTTCAGTGTAAAATATCTCCATGCTAAGAAATGCTGAAACATGTCTGTCAAATGACAAATACATTCATAAGAGTCATACAGGCATACTTACGAATTCTTAATCTCCATAGTTGCTCGCATTTAACTAATAAATTAAATTCAGAAAAGTTTGGCAAATATTGCCAACTAGTTTCACTCATTTTTAAACAGCACAGTTAGCGCTTGTTTCGATACCGGTATTTTCTCACTGAGAAACAACCAACCGAAATTCCGCCGGACCATTACAAACGGATTGTTTGCGTAAACGTTCGCACGCGATCAATAGATCGTCTGCATCAGTTTCTGGGCTCGGGCGGTTGGGTGAAGCGGAGACAGGAGAAGCGGGAGGAAGAGGCCGTGCAAGTATTTACTAGCGACAAAGGATTCCAGTGTCACGCCAAAGAATCACGAAAAATACTTTTTCAATCAAAAACGACCATAAAAGTTCCATTTATTAAGAAACGTCCATTTTGAAGAAAGATGAGGCATTCAGAATTTCCGAAACAGAAATATTAATCCGAAATTGCCGTTATCCAAAGATTAAAAAAATAGTCAGCGAAATTTTGCTAATTTACAACTTTTTTTGCAAAGAGCCATTTACAGCTAGATTAAATTAGTTTATGTATCATAGAAAAACGTTCAATAGTTACCATCATAGGAAGGTGTCCTGCGAAGAATTGATTTTTCACTCCGGGGATGGACTGGGGAGCAACCTCCGGCGTTCTGGCTAGGACCTGTACCTAGACGGACTTCTGGGGTAAATAATCAGTTTTCAAAACAGTGACTAGAATCACCGTTTTATACAGTGGCATGTTCCGGCTCGGTAGGTATCATATCTGCTCCTTGGTTATGGGGACGCTACATGATCAAGATATCGAAGGTTGTCCGGGAGGGTTTGGCTCCCCTTGATCAGGTCAACACTGGGGAACAGACTTGTGTCACTGACTTAGCGTTATTTTCACCCAGCCAATGTGCATTTCTGTCCCTTTGGGTTGATCGGAGAGATTATGCCTCCTACGATCGCCTGCGGAGAACTAACGAGGGAATGTTAAGAAAAACCCAAAGAAGACGCTATCCATTTAGTACCGAGAAAGTAAGTATCATCTACTCTGTGATGTTTATGTATATACAGGCTGACCGTATTTCCGTGAGACAAAAACAGGATATCTTAATAGCACACAGTAGCGTAGCTAGGGTGGGGGAAGGGGAGACATTTGTCCCCGGGCGCAGCATCCAGGAGGTGCCAAATTCATGTTACGAAATTTTGGAATGAAATGTTTTTCATTCTTGACACACAGAAATGGGCGTAAAATCTTCAGTTGTCCCCAAGAGCTGAAAACCCTAACTATGCTTCTGATGGCACAAACCAGTACCTCCTACATACATATGTAGGAGGTACTGCACAAACGGGACGAGTGCTAATCATGGGTAAAAAGATGATGGAAAAAACTTCATGACATGACTTTACTATTATTCTTCAAGCACAGCAACGGTCTGAAGGTAAAGTTTAGAAGAGGATTGTATTTTGCTAGTATTTTATCTTGAATATTTCTCTCATGAAATTATCTTACACCGCAAATTCTTGTATTTTTAACTGCCACATTCAATGACACAGTTTTATTTCACATCTAACATAGTTAATCATTTCAAAACTTAACCTAAATTTCTCCTTTGTTCACATGTTCTTCATAACGAATAATAAGTTTTTTCTGGCCGTGGCGTATTCAAGCGCAATATGCACCCTCCAAAACTTTTTCTTGCATAAAAAAGTGTTAAAAATTAAAGGTGGCATCATTCTGCTCATTTCCTTATCGAAAGAGGTATTTTTAGATTGCCTTATCCTCTATTCTCTTTTATCGGGTGTACCTATTTTTTAATGCTTATCCTTATTATTCTCTAAACTGGGAATGAGCATGCATTGTTGGGGGAATCTAGTGCATGTTGAAGGAGGCTAAACGGGTGTAAAAAAGCTAATATTCACATTTATTAAAAATACGCTTCAGGAAGTGATATGAGATGTGTCAATCAAATGATCCAAATATAAAGAAAGCATATTCGAAAGCCACCTAGATTCCTGTTGCTAACCCCTAAGTTGATCTTCACACGAGTTCCCATTTGACGAAATAAGGAAACGGACGTTTGGGTTCCTTTAGGATTTCAGGCTTCTTTACTTCTATAATGCTTCAACTTCTCTCGTTCCACGTGCTATTAACGAGAAAATGTCGCTATACTATACTAAATGATAATAGTCATGCCCTTAGCCTTCATACCTACCATTCGATTTACAACACTTCTGAATTTAAAGTGATAATTTGCTAAAACGAGCCCATTCATTTCATCTTTTCTTCAGACTTAAACTACAGACTGGAGCTATTCTTAAAGCATTAGTGAGCATTAATGTAGCATTAATGAATATTAATATGATTCAGTAACATTAACCATTATTGATTTTATCATCAGGAGTCCTGACAGAGTGATATATTCAGAAAATCTGTGTCCAGTTACTAAGTTCAAAATGAGTAAAGAGAGAGAACATTCCGAGTTAAATTATTTTTTAAATTGTCCACGAATTTGAATTAAAAATGAAATGGAAATGAAGAGGTATGGCATACTAAGCGATGATGAGTGACAACTCTAGAATGTTATGACTCTACAGCAAGCTGAATATGAAACTTAACTGCAAAGTACTTTTAATTCTAATTGCGATACATCAACAAACCCTTCAGTTGAAATTGAAATTCCTCTCCAAAATGAAAAAAAAAATATGGTATATGAAATTTTGTAAATCGTAAATTAATTGAACAAGGAAAACTTGATTTTCTTGAAAATGCTTCGGCTCTCATAGCGAAGTACGTGTTTCTAACTACTTCACTTTGGAAGAAAAACATAAATATAAAATTTAAGTTTACATTGTTATTTGATTACCCTTCACTAGCTTATTGATTAATACCCACTAAGAAATATATAGGAAAATCACAAAATTAAACTTCTGAGAACAAGCCTTTTCAAAATTGAGGAGAATCTAAGGAAAGATTCTGTGACCACCAAAAGGAAAAATTTCATAAGCAATCGTTATTATCTTCCGATAATTAAAAGTTGTCGTTCTTGAGACCATAAATAATCTATAGGTGCAACTGATATCACAACCACTCATTAAGGTAAAGAAAATCGAAAAATCTCACTTTTTAAAGAAAAATACTGATTTCCGGTTAGAGAAATCCATTTTCACTAAGAGGTTATCGTGATTTTAGGCAAATAAATGTGCATGAAGATAGTGTTGAATCACATCAGAATGAATGGAACATTTTCCAGCTCCTCATATTTCGAATAGATGCAGGATATGACGTACTAAATAATCATTTAAAATCCTGCAGCAATAATATAATGCATATTTCACCAAAAATACGAAACGAAGTCATAAGTGCTAGAAATAAAATTATTTTGATCATTAAAAAAGCGAACGCAAGCAAATGGTTTTTGATTAAAACTGAAGAAACTACGAACATTTCTTCACAACAGCAAGTATCTACTTGTGTGAGATATGTGGGAGAACTTGGAAGAAAAACTCTTTTAATAGAAACATTTTTAGAATTCGTACCCTTTGTGTACACACATGGAGAAGTTTGAATATTGCTATATAGATAATGTGACATCAATAAGCTTATGAGGGACAAGGCTATGATGATACCGCAAGAAAACAATAGTTTTCCAGTATCAATGCCCCTGATACCGGTACACTGTGTGCAGCCATTTTAAACGCGGATCATCAACGTCTTCATAAGCGCACGTTTTCGTAGGTCTGGTGTTTCGATCAGTGGAATCAAAGCCTGAAAAATCAAGACTTTGATCAAAACTGGCATCAATTTTTCAGGATTGTCGATAAACTATTTTGCAAAATATCGAATTGTGTGGCAGTGCTGTTCTCCTTTATACCTTCGTCGGGAAATATAATTTTTTAGACATTTTCGTTTCGACAATTTTAGCACTCCATAGACAACTACCTTTAAAAAGGATTTGCATTATAAACCCGCAAAAATCAAAAATAAAAATAAAGTGCAGTTGCTGCTTTACTTAAAACTAATTTGCGAAACAGGATTGACTAGAGAATTTTTAACGATAGGGTATGTAAATATTTTCTCATTCAAGAATCTGCCTCCATCTCTCAAGTAAAATGGATTAAGATGGCCAAGAGATGTCGAGTCTCCTGTTTTAGTTTAGAACCACAGTGTCATGACCTTACGGCGTCTTGGGAAATTCCTCAAATTTGCGATGACCCCGATCCGTCCTTTCTATTGACTAAGAGTATACAGATGAGGTATTAAAACACAATTGAGTATCAACGAAGAAATTCTCAGTGTTAAAGTAGTAGGGAAGCCTTTCGAAAATTTATTTAAAGTATTTCTCGCGGTTCCCGCAGAACATTAACGATTGTAGTAATAATTCATTTTATGTATATACGTTTTAATAAATAATTTTTCACAACTTTCGGAGTTCGTTGTGAACGGAACTCATAACGAACTGATGCGGAACTGATTGACTGCATAATTGACAGCATCTCACATCGCTGTGAGTGTTGAGTTGCATTGATACTAAAGGAGAGCATACTCCATATTAAAGGTAATTTTCCTATACGAAACTAATGCATCCGATTTGTTCATTTTATACATATGCTAATTCCTATAAAACCATAATTGCCTGGTAACTTCTTTTCATGTTATTTTATACCCTACTATGTGTTGTATACTGTGAGACAGTTTCATTAACCCATTAACTGCCAAATTTTTGTTTCATCAATTTTTATCTTATTTCTGTTAGTTTACATCTAAATAATAAGAAAAATATGTTTTTCTCTTAAATTCGTCAATGGGTTTTCAGAAATTTTAAATTTAAGTCCGATCCCCAAATGGGGATCATGGCTGATACTATCTACTTTTAATGCCAGCGTTCAAAACAGTCTACATGTAATCCAACATTACATTTGCCACATTGTTTTCTTGCATTTGTTTTGCACACTGCACATTTTCTTTGTTTACCATTTTCGGTCCGTTCAATATAATGATTACCAGATGTTCGGATAACAGTAGGAACACGATTAATTGATGCTTTAGTGAAAGAATTCCTTCCACCCGTTTTTGCATCTGAGAGTTCTGAAGATAAAGTAAGATATCCTCTAGCAACCATCCTCCTAAAATCTAGCAATGGAATTTTATCATTTGAAATACAATACAGTGCGTGAGCGTTAACCAGTGTTACGTCGATGGCATTAGTAAGAAAAGGAAAATACCATTTCCCTCCCCTTT